TCAAACCCAATTTCTCTCTTTCTTACTAATCACCCAAAATCTCTATTTCTTATTGATACAATGTAGACGAAAATCAAAATATTGCTCTAGAATCAAGCTATGAGTAAGTTTTGAATCTTGTTTTCTTTCTTTCTAAAATATTCACTGTATGTGACTTCTATATGATACATCAATACCCAAAACAATACTTGATACAATACTAATATAATTATTATACGATTATATTAGATTTTTAGTGTAGAGTTGTGATTGAAACTTGAAGAAGATGAAGATCATAATTGTATCACAATTTTTCAGAAATGTATCGCGATTGTATTATAATTGTATATGTATAATAATTGTTGAAGGAATTGTATAACAAATGTATAATAATTATATATTTATCGTATTACGAGCATCTGTGAGTTCGTGACGGATTTCACAGTTTGTATCATAAATATATGATAATTAATATATATTTAATTATTTCCTACCTCTTCTCAAACCCACCAAAGTTAACCGTTCATGCCTCCTTATTGGGGCATCTGAGCTTCTCATCTTCACATGCTAGAACCATCTAAGTCTCGCTTTCCGCATCTTGTCCTCCACGGGATCACACCCACCTTTACCTAGACATCTTCATTCCTAATCTTATCCAACCAATTATGCCCCCACATCCATCTCAACATCCTTATCTCCGCTACTTTCATCTTATGGGTATGAAAATTCTTGATTGGCCAGTACTCTACCTCATACAACATAATCGGTCTAACCACTACTCTGTAAAACTTGCCTTTAAGTTTTGGTGGCACATTCTTATGACACAAAACATTGGAAGCTAGCCTCCATTTCATCCACCCCGCTTCGATACAAATGTGTGACATCCTCTTCAATCTCCCCATTCCCTTTAGAAATATCTATATGAAGTGTAATAATTTTCAAAATGAGCCTTTTTGAGTGATTTTTTTTTGATTGCATGGGTATTTTCTTTAATTTTACTAATTTATTCTAGGGAATATAAATGAAATACTGAAAATAGTTGATTTGCAGCTTCTATAATTTTTTCTCTACAGCACTAATTGTGATATGTGCAAATACAATTTAAAAAATATGTAAAACGCACATGTGAAATATGATTTACATGTGTTTCTGAATGTTATTAGTTTAAATTGCATTTTAAAAATACATATTTATAATAGAATTTTTGAAAAGAAACTTATACCCATTTGTAGGCTGAACACACTACGACATATAAATTTTAATGAATGCGACTTATGAATCGCAATACTATAAATTGTGATACTATAAAATTGGATATATGGTGCAGTTAGTAAATGTGACTTATAAATCGCATAGTAACATTTGACATATAATCGAGACTTATAAATGCGTCTTATAAATGGCGTACCCTAAATAAATCGCAAGGCAACATGATTTGTGTATATACCATATATAACAGGCTACTTGAAGTTTTGAAGGACAGACTGACGCGGGTCTCAACTCTCACGTGTATTCCACTTCGCACACAGCACACCATTCACTGTGTGTGTTTGTCTGTGCTGCGCTGCGTTTCTTCCACCATCTTGCCCTGACCAATTTTCTCCTAAAACTGTTATTAGATTCCATTTCTTTTGATCGAACGTTCCTTATCATTTGCCTCGTCGATCCATTTCTGGTTTTGGGTCCTGATCATAACCTCAATTCTTGTTGTAAGTTTGCCAAATTCCTGATTATTTACTATGTCATGTATCATTTTCTCTATGAATGTGTGTGGTGTGGTAGTGTCAGTGATTTTCTAAAATTGTTTCGTTGATTTTATTCTTTTCTTGGTTGCAAGATGGGAAATTGATGTGGTATTAATGGGATTGTTGCCTCTGCCCAAAAAGGTGAAATCTTTTTGAGTCTTTCTCGATTTGGGTTTTTTACTGGAATTAAGCAATCTGTCTTTGGTTGATTTTAATTTGCTGGCTCACTAATTGGGTCGCTTGATATTTCATTTCTTGGTTTACTTTTGGCTGAAGATTGGTCTTCTATTTACTGTTAATCTCAGTTTGCACAGTATGTTTTGAGTTGTTTTCATCTGATTTTGGATTTCATTTAGTTGCTGAGGGTAAGCAGATGTTGGACTTTAAATTGCTTGATTATTATGCCCATATAATGTAGCTTTATAAGTTTGGAGGTTTTAGTGGCCGTTTGATGTGTTATTCTGTTCAAAAGGGAATGGAGCATCTTCCTGTTGAGGTCATTGGCAACATATTGTCCCGGCTAGGAGCTGCACGAGATGTTGTGATTGCATCTTCTACTTGCAGGAAATGGCGAGAGGCTTGGAGAAATCATCTTTACATGCTCACTTTTAATTCGAATGACTGGCCTCTTTATCATGAGCTCACACGGAGCAGACTAGAAATAATTGTAACCCAGACGATTTTCCAGACTAACGGACTGCAGTGTCTTTCAATTCTTATGGATGATGTGGATGAGTTTTCTGCTGCTCCGGTGATTGCTTGGCTAATGTATACGAGAGAAACCTTGCGTGAGTTACACTATAATGTCAGGACTACCCCTAACATTAATATACTCGAGAAATGTGGTCGTCAGAGATTGGAAGTATTAGATCTGGCACATAATACGATTACGGGTGTGGAACCTAGTTACCAAAAATTTCCTTGCTTGAGGTCTCTTTCGCTGAGCTATGTCAGTGTATCAGCGTTGGACCTCAGTCTTTTCCTCACAGCCTGCCCAAAAGTTGAGGTCTTGAGCCTCGTAAGTCTGGATATTGTTATGTCTGATCCGCAGGCCTCAATGGAGTTGAGTACTAACTCTTTGAAAGATATCTACGTTGAAGCCATTAGTTTGGATAAAATTGTTTTGGAGGCTGATAGCCTTGAGAAGTTGCAGTTAAAAGATTGTACGCTTGAAGTCTTTGAGCTTGTTAGCAAGGGGAAGTTAAGACTCCTTAAGATTGATGATGTTAGTGTCATCCATCTTGATATTGGTGAGAGTGCTGAGAATCTAGAGATTGTGGACGTCAGCAATTTCACAATCATGTGGTCCAAGTTCCATCATATGATAGCAAAATCATCGAAACTGAGAAGATTGAGATTATGGGGAGTTGTGTTTGATGACGATGATGAGGTTGTTGATATTGAGACTATTTCTGCTTGCTTTCCTCAATTAAGTCATCTCTCGTTAAACTATGAACTAAAAGAGGCAGCAGTTCAGTATGGGTTGCAAAGTTCTTTTCAATTGGAAAATGTGGTTGTATTGGAGCTTGGTTGGCCGGTGATTAGTGACCTGTTCTCACATTGGGTAGCAGGGTTACTGGAAAGATGCCCTAATCTGAGGAAGTTGGTGATTCACGGGGTTGTTTCAGAAACCAAAACACATGAAGAATGCCATACATTAGCCAAATTCACATCTTTTATTGTAAGGCTAATGAGGAAGTATTTGAAGATAGATGTTCAGTTTGAATATGACTAGATTTTGAGCAACTGTACGCTGCCTCGGAATTCACATTTTTGTCAAAAGTCAATAGCTCAAGGAGGTACATGATCTTTCTGGTGATTGTTTCTGTTATTACACGGATACCATACCGTTCCTTTTTTTAGTTGAAGTTGTGCTTCAACATTGTAACTTACCCTATTCTTTCAGTTCAAGTTCACATACATTCACGGTTATGGTATTCTTATTGTTACTAGTTAGTGCATCGATGCACTCCCATTCCTGGTGCAAAAAAAAACTTCTCTTTTCCGTTTCTGCTTTTCTGTTTTATTTCTTGTTGTAATGAAGTTTTTTTGGTTCATGTTTTAGCTTTTCTGGTATACTCTGCATAAATTGACTTACATGCTGAAGAAATGAGGAAAAGAACTGACATATAATTGGTTGCTTTGTCAAAAGTGCCATCCATCTTGAAATCAGATCCTTTTTCTATCGCATCTTTGGGATGGTTTAAGTTAATTTAAGGTGAAATGCTACATTTCTTATGTACCCATAGGTACTATTTTGGATTTGAATCAGATTTTGGATCAATTTTATATTGAGTGACTGCCTCCGTTATGTTGTTACTAGCAAAATACCACTATTTTTGGTTTTGGATCTTCCAAATCATTCCCGAATGAGACCACATGTGCCATAAGTTTAATAATTTTATGGGACCTTTTCGCCTTGACCTGCACTTGCTATAGTACAACTTATGAATGTGTTGCATATTCTCAGTACGGTGGTTGTGTTTTGTGACTGATTGTGCAGAGCTTGAAAAATTGGCAAGGAGGGATTTTTCACAATAAGGGAGTAAATTCCCTTCACAAGAAGTATACCAAAAGAGTCTTTTCCTTTCAAGAATTAATTCTGAAGTTGATATAAGCCGATCAAATATTTGTTGTCCAGTAAAAAACGTTGAGATTTTTTAGAACTAAATAATTGAAAAATCGTAACAATCAGAAACATGGTGGGGAGGAGAAATTAGTCCCCAAAAGAGTTACTGGAACAAAAAAAAAGAATCAAATATGGAGAATCCCTACGGAAAACCAAAGCTGTTGAACTTTAGTTTGGCAATTCTAAACCTTCAATTTCTTTTGTTAGGAGTTCTATCAAAGAAAAACAGGAAAAGGAAATTGTACAAAACTGTCTTCTTTTCCATCTGAAATAGCACTGCTTGTGTGCTTTCATAGTTCAGTTAGAAAGCATATTAACTTCAAACTGAAGTTATTAGGAACTATCATCTATCTGATTGCTGCATTATTGCGAGCAATGATACTTGAATCATGAATGTGTATGCTATACTTAAATATTCTGCCTTAATTGTCTCATTCTTTAATAGTGACCTGCAAATATGGATGTATACCATTTCAAAATTATTGTCTGAGCATTTTTTTAATAAGAAATGTGCTAACAAGAATTTACTTTATGTGGAAAATTTTGACCTCCGAAATGCTAGAGGTTCGTTTACAAAGCAGTTCACTTGCTTAATGACCTTTATTGGAGTCATAAATAAATAGAGTTTTATTCTAGTTTTTGAGGACTTTCTTAAGTTTTTGTTTGATGGAATTGTGTTAACTCTCTCTTTCGTCTGTGTTGCTATTTTATTTCTGAGCCCTATGTTTAGTGAAGATGAGAATGGGTATTCCAATTAATTTTTCTTTTTGACCTGATCGTGGTGAATTACATCAGGAGATCCACTCCTTTGCCAGAGGAAAATTGTGCTTCATTTTTAACAGGAGAATGAACTGATTTTATAAGTTGTTTTATGACAAGTGAGGATAAGTGGTAGAGAGGTAAAAGGGAGGGCTAGAAATTATTTTCATTGTCTTTCTTGGAAGTAAATAAAGAGTTATTGTGAAACGAGTGGAAATAGACTAGAGAGGGAAGGTCGTTAATGAAGGTTAGGGTTTTCTAGAGAATTCTTCGTCAGAGAAAACAAATGAGAAGAGATTAATGAAAAATGACCGGTCAAACATTAACAATGATGGCCTCTTCTATTTATATCTTGCTTATACAGTGTAAAGTTGGCTAACCACTAAATGAATGACTACTATGCTATATTAAACAAAGAATGACTAACTAGTACAAAAAAGGCTAAGTATAAATAAATAGTCGGGCCAACTTAAGTGTGCTGCTTTGGGCCTGAAGTGGTGCAAGCTGGTGGCCCAACACCCCCTTCAAGTTGGAGTGGGAAACAACCTTCAACTTGCCAAGAAAAGAGTGATGGAGAACACCAAGTAGTGGCTTGGTGAATACATCTGCCAGCTGATCAGAGGTGGGAACATGCGATAACTGGATGAAAACTTCAGTCAATTTACTCCGGATGAAGTGGCAGTCCACTTTAATATGCTTAGTGCGCTCATGGAAGACGATATTTTTTGCAATGTGAATAGCTGCCATATTGTCATAGAAGACAGAGATAGGAAATGAAACATTAATAGTAAGATCATGCAATAATATGGATAGCCAAACCAATTCAGCAACAACCTTACTAACAGCTCTATACTCAGCTTCAGCGGAAGAAAGAGAAATCATATGTTGTTTCTTCGACTTCCAGCCAACAAGGCTATCACCCAAGAAAATGCAAAAACCAGAAACAAATTTGCGAGTGTCAGGGCAAGCCGCCCAATCACTGTCAGAGTAAACCTTGATAGAAAAATCAGTAGAGTGAGAGTAAAAAAAGCCAAGGTCAGGAGTACCCTTGAGATACCTAAGAAAATGAAGAGCAGCAATCATGTGAGGAAGCCAGGGAGCCTGTATAAACTGGCTAAGATGCTGAACACTAAAGCAAATATCAGGCAGGGTGCGAGTCAAGAACAATAACTTCCCCACAAGGCTTCTGTATTTCTCAGGATTAGGTAGAAGATCCCCAACATCAGCTTTAAGTTTCTGATTCAATTCCAATGGGCTAACAACAAAATGAACATCCAAGCAATCATAGTCTTTGAATAAATCAGAAGTGAACTTCTTCTGATTCAATACAACACCATAAGGTAATACAGTGACCTCAATACCCAAAAAATAATGAAGAAAACCCAAGTCTTTGATCTTAAATTCAGAATCTAGAAATTGTTTTAAGGCGAAAATCTCATGCAAATCATCACCAGTGAGGATGATATCATCAACATAAACAACCAAGATTACTAGATGACCAGGAGACCCTTTGATAAAGAGAGAGTAATCATTGAGTGAATGATGAAAACCTTTAGAATAAAGGGCTTGAGACAATTTGGCATACTATTGCCTCGAAGCTTGTCTAAGCCCATAAAGAGACCTTTTCAACTTGCAAGCCAAAGTGGCAGAAGAAGAAGGAGATGTAACAAAAAGGCCAGGAAGTAATTTCATATAGACCTCCTCATCCAACTCACCATGAAGAAATGCATTGTTAACATCAAGTTAAAATAAATATCAATTCTTCTTAATAATATCATCAATCAAACATTTGACAGTAGACATCTTCATTACATGAGAAAATATCTCATTGAAATCCACCCCTAAATCTGTGTATCCCCTCTAATAACAAGCCTAGCCTTGTATCTTTCTACTTCCCTAGTAACTTTGTATTTAATTTTATAGACCTATTTACAACTAATAGGCTTCTTACATAGGGGTAATTCAACAATATCCCAAGTGTTATTAGCCTCTAGAGCTTCAAACTCTTTTCTCATAGCATCTTGCCAAGCTAAAATAGGGGCTGCCTGAGAATAAGTATATGGCTCAAACTCTACAGGTTGGACAGCAAAACAGGAAAGAGAACTAGGCAGATTATAGATGTAATCCTTAAGATAAGAGGGATGAGTTTGTGTTCTATCAGATTTTCTAAGTAGTGCAATAGAGGTGGCATGACTGATAGTGGCAGGAGGAGAAGGAGAAGGGTTAGAGTCAAAGAAAGCATCAGTAAGATGAGGAGAAGGTGAAGCATAAGAAGGTGAAGGGTGGTTGTTAGTAGCATTGGGGAAAGATGGAGTATCAGAAAGGAAGGAAGGAGCATCAGAAGGGAATGAAGCTGAAAGAGGAGTAGAATGAGTGGTAGAAGCAGAAGGTAGAACAGATTCAGACCAATAGGTTGGAACAAAAGATGAAGTGGTTGACAATGGGGACATTGACACAACTGGAAGGAAAAAATCTGAAGAGAAAGGGAAGAGTTGTTCATGAAAAATGACATCTCTAAAGACAAAACACTGCTTTGACTGAAGGTTATACAACTTATAACCTTTCTTTGCAAAAGGATAGCCAAGAAATATACAGGGGATAACTCTAGGTTTTAGTTTGTCTCTTTGAGGAATTGGAACAGTGGCAAAACAGAGGCAACCAAAAGTCCTCAAGTGTGAATAGCTAGGTATCTTGCCAAATAACAACTCATAAGGTAATTTATTCTGTAGTAACCTAGAGGGAAGTCTGTTAATGATGTATGTGGCTGTGAGGAAACAATCTTTCCAAAATCTTATTGGTACTTTGGATTGGAAAAGTAAAGCTCTGGAGGCTTCTATGAGGGTTCTATGTTTCCTTTCCACTACACTATTTTATTGAGGTGTGTGGGGACAACTGGTTTGGTGAATGATGCCATTTTCAGAAAAGAAAAAAGCTGCAGCATTGCCATTCCCTAATTCTAGTGCATTATCAGACCTTATGCTTTGAATGGTGACATGAAATTGAGTTTGAACCATCAATACAAAGACTTTTCGGAGAGGAAAAGCATTACTTTTGTACCCCATCAAATGAGTCCAAGTGCATCTAGAGAAGTCATCAACAATGGTAAGGAAATATTTTGAGCCTGAATATGTAGAAGTGTGATATGGTCCCCAAGTGTCAATATGAACAAGTTAGAAAGGCTTAGAACTATGAATAGAATTATCAGAAAATGGTAATCTAGTTTGTCTAGCCATAGGATAAATAGTACATGGAAAATACTGTGTAGAGGAAATATCAGAAGAAATTTCAGAAATACTTTTCATTTTAATAAAAGGAACATGTGCAAGTCTGTGATGCCAAACAATGTCCACTTTATTCATAGCAGCTTTATTACAAGAGGGGGAAATAATATTTACAGTACAAGTAAGATGATCAGAAACAAACAGAGATGTCAAGCTCCTGCAGTCAGTTGACAAAGTAACCTGAGGTTGAGAGGGCTTTTCCCACACGAATTTGTACAATCCGATGTCCAGTTTACCAAGATCCAGAGGCTTCTTCAGAGAAGGGCCCTGTATGAGACATGAAAGTCTAGTAAACTGAACTATACAATCAAACTGGTCTGTGAGTTTGTACACAGAGATGAGATTGTGCTTAAAGGAAGGTAGATAAAGGACATTTTGAAGAATTATA